TTCGGCAAAAGATCGGCGACTTCTTCAAAACCACTGTTTTCGGCCAATTTTCCGGCCGGCCGATTTGGGAAATGCCTATTCAGGAACTATAGCTTATCACAATTATACCTTTTCACCGAATCGAAGGCCGGTGTATACGCTACTTCCTTAGAGCTTCTGTGACTGTGTGTGATGCAGGCGTGTTCATCATGTGATGGGGCGACAACCATGCGCGTAGCCGTGTACGCGTTCTTAATGTTCCTGGTGACCTTCGTCATATTCTGTCTACTTCTCCTGTTGAACGTAGGCTTGAATCCAACCATGGACAGCTGGTTGTTCTTCATGCAGGTATGGTCACAACTTCATGTGCCAATAAAACATGTCGTTTGGACAAAGAATGTACAAAACACCAGCTGCATCTTCACCACAGGTTACTGAATTCCGAATTATATCGGTTCGGCCAGTTTCTCAGACTCTGAGCTTTGCTCACGTGACGCAACAAGGTCGAAGTAGCTAGCTTTTCCCCGAGATTGAGCATTGCGCTTCCTTGCCTCAGCATGGTAGAGCACCCTTTCTGTTTCGCGTCAAATGGTTGCCTGCCCATGTGCAAAACTCGCTGTGTTTCTTGCAGTTCGAGCACTCTGACTTTGATGCTTTGGGCCAGTTGCTTTGTTATTCACAGGACTGCAATTGGTTAAGCCAGTAACTCTTAGCTCCGCGGATGAGACCAAACAAGGTCTCAAAACAGGTAGTTGTCCGGAGATTGAAAATTCTAAATTTCCTCGCTCTCTTTTTTTTGTCCCTGTTCCGCGCTCTCGTTCATCTGTATAGTCTTCTCCCCTTGATGTGTTTGCATCAGGTACCACTTGTATTGCGGAATATTCCAGAGAACTACATGTTAGTATGAGTGTCTTCTTCGCCTACAAGACTAATGCTAAATCATAATGATTGTCGTATTGTTTTGTTGCGTTTTCTGCAGGCAACATTTTATCTGTTTCCTGACGAGACCAACCTCAGTGATGCTTACCTGTCCTTCCTGTCACTCGGTCTCGGCAACATTTGTCTGACCCCGCCCATCACTCGCCTCGCAGCCAAGGCGTTGCTACTCGCACAGCCTCTGTTTCTCTACTTCTTCATCGTCCTGCTGTGGTTCTGCATCACCTTTCGCCTGTTTATTGTACACCTGCAGAAGCTACAGCGCCGTCAGGCTCTAGCCTGCGTTGTTTGGTTCATTGTTGTGCTCTCTTCATCAAACATGGCCTATATTGCAGTCACGATTCTGACGTCGGTGAAGCTTTCCAATGGGAAGAGGGTGGTCCTCGTTGATGGTGCCGTGGCGTACTTTGATGACCAGCACAAACCATTCGGTGTCCTGGCCATCATTGTGCTGATTTGTTTTGTGCTGCCACCACCCGTGATTCTCACCGTGCCATATTTACGTGGCCTGCCAGTGTTCCGACGTTTTGTTGACGCGGCTCTGTCATCGTACGAAGATCACGTGCCCTGGTGGGCCGCGTACAACTTACTGCGACGACTGCTCCTCGCTCTCCTCCAGGGTGCGGTGGTGGATGGGCAGTCAAGACGCGGCTTCATTGCTCTGGCCAGCATCATGCTTCTGACCATACACGGACTTGTTAGGTGGGTACGTGTGCATGAACAGAAATAGAGCGGAAGAGAGAATGTATGAAAGCGAGTGCCTGAATGGAAACGAAGTATGGACAAGAATGAAATAAAGCAGTAAACGAGAGAGCTTGGAAGCTCAGGGCCCTACGCTATGCTTTTTTGCCTAGCGAGAGTCAACTTTCTCTTTGCATTCGAGGGTAATACGACACCGTCTACCACCTTGATGACCTAGGCAAAAAAGCATAGGGATGTTATAAATTTTTCATTTCTCCTATTTTTTTCAAGACATAACCTGGGATTCGAACCCGCACTATCGCCCTGCATGCATTCTCCGATACACTTCGCATACATACTCATTTTTCCAAGTTGCTTCACGTTATGATTTTGCATTTGAAGACCCTATTTGAATATTGTGGCCAGCTGTCTTTGATTATTGTGGCCAGCTGTCTTTGATGGTACGGAACGGGGCAGGTACGGGATAGCGCCAGGTATGTCGATGCTGTCCTTGATGGTACGGTACGGGACAGGTACGGGATAGCGCCAGGCATAGCGATGCTGTCCTTGATGGTACGGTACGGGACAGGTACGGGATAGCGCCAGGCATGCCCATGGCACAAACAAACAAACACGGAATTAAAGCTGTGTGGACCGTGGCTAGCGCCGGACGTTACTGAAGTAACGTCTTTTGCATAGCTACGGGAATATAAATAATAGTAAAGTGGACAAACTCTTATCACAAACATAGCAAGCAAAGATGTGATCCAGAAAACGTTCTTTTAAAAAACTTTGATTGCTATGTTTGTGGGAGAGGTGACACATTTGAGACCTGTATGATAGAAGCAGCTGTACGAAGGCATAATTTATGCCAATGTCTACAACGAAAACTCAGAGTCGTATTGCTGGAGTTGTGGATGAGTTTGAGTAGAGAGCGCACGTGGTGGAGTTGGTCAATGTCAACTTTGTTAAATATAATCGCTGCCATAGCTTATTCGGTCATACTCCAGTGCACGTGGGCTCCCAGTGGATAAATACCAAAAGTCTATTTGTCGAAAGAAGCCTTGAGGCTTCCTGCAGCTTCATAATAGAAAAGAGGATTGGGTGGACACACCCATTCCAGTCTCTATGCAAATCTGAACCAATTCCATTGTTAAACAACGTTTCGGCACATGGCCATCACCAGGTAACTGCCCTCCCCCCCCCCCCCCCCATGTGTCGCCTAGCCTTGAAAGTTTCTGAGACATTGGAACCGTTGTCATCACTTGCAAAAGCTGGTGATTTCTATTTTGTTTTACGCGATTGTAATTACACCCGCTGCAGGCCCTTCAAACGCAAGACGAAGCTGTGGATTTTCTCGGACGTCGACAACAAGTTTGAGCTGATGCTGCTGATCGGATTCTGCTCCCTGTGCATCCTGCGTCTGTGGGCCGTCCACGAGGAAGTCTTCCCCGGTCACTACACAGCCAGGCCGCAGGATACGTACATACCCATCTGTCTGACCATCACCGTGATCTCCTTGCTTCTCGCCATAACTCGCTTCCTGCTCAGCTGGCTTGCGACCTACAGGCAAACGCAGCGAAAGAAGTGAGTGTCTATCAGAGTTCGGGAAGCTTAGAGAGGAGTGAACATTGAGATGACACTCCTAAAAAGTGCCATGCTCTTGATATAAGCTAACCATGTTGCCTGCTCTTTGCTGAAGGCTATTTCACTATCTAGTACATGACAAAGAAAGGCTTCGCTCCCCACACCGGAGCTCGCGCTATTCCGGCGACTTGACTTGACACTTGACTGACTCACAACTGCCATCCAGAGAACACGAGAAGTTCATCGAACCTTTGACTCGGCAAACCTGCAGGAAAGCACCACTCCCTGCTCAAGACATAGTGTTTCGGGGAATTCACCCCTCATCAGTTGAGCTTGAGTAGGTTGAGGAAGATTGTGCCTGAAGAGCACCACTTATATAGTGCTCTCCAGGCACAAACATCACCAGGGATACAAACTTTCAGAGACGCTCCGTTTCCAGCGCGACAAAAAACCTCATGACCACCAGATAGCAGCGTGAGTCAGTGAATTCCCCGAAACACTGTGTAATGAGCAGGGAGTGATGCTTTCTTGCCGGTTTGCCGAGTCGAAGGTTCGATGGACTTCTCGTGTTCTCTGGATGGCAGTTGTGAGTCAGTCAATTCAAGTCAAGTCGGCGGAATAGCGCGAGCTCCGGTGTGGGGAGCGAACCCTTTTTTACAAATCAGCGGCGAAGTCGCAACCACTATTTCGTATTTTAATACATGACAAGTCGAACAAAATGATGCGGATTTCAACTAGAAAAGGCTGATGCGAATTCGAGACTGAAAAGCTGTACATGTCATCCTGGCTGGCGTAAGCATGTGCAATAAAATTGTGGATACAGGCTTCTTGGGACCATGTCAACATGTGGCAAGCCCCTACAACAAGCAAAGCTAGTGAATTCCTGGTTTGTGAATTCCTTGTTTCAAGATCCATGAGAAAAGAATATCCTTTTAAAAGAAAGTTTAAAGAAATGCAACACTTGAAATGTGGCTGGTGTTCATCAGTTCTGTTGATATCCGGGGGCTGTCGAGGGAATGATGTTGATAAAGTAATTCCACCTCCACCAAACACGCTCTCTGGCCGACCTCACACACCAGCAACATGACTCCAAGTTGTAGATACTGACAAAATAATAGTGTTTTCCTCCATACGGCGCTGTTTTGACCACTATAGGTCTCATTAGTGAAGGTTGCGAATAATCATCAATAATGAAAGACTAGAATTAATTTGAAAACACGGTTTATACATAGAATGAAATGAAGAAGCGTGACCCCGCGCTTAGAGGTAGCAGACGTACTATGTGCTGACACGCAGAGAAAAAGGTGCAAAATGATAGTGCTACGCGCCACAAGTGTACTGCATAGTGCTATATCGGACCTGTCACCCTTATTTTCAGTCCATGGATACTACATGATTGTATTTCAGAGTGCTAAAATCTGTTGCGCAAGTAACAATGATGTCCTTAGTACACTTGTGGCGCGTAGCAGTGTCATTTTGCACCTTTTTCTCCACGTGCTAGCACATAGCACATCTGTTACCTCTAACCGCGGGATCGCACTTTTTCATTTCACTCTATGTATAAACCATGCTTTCAAATTAATTCTAACCATTCATTATTCTCAACCTTCACTGATATTAGTGGTGGAAACAGCACAGTATGGAGGAAAACTCTTTTTCAGTATCTACAACTTGCAGTCATGTCGCTGGTGTGTGAGGTCGGCTAGAGAGCACGTTTGTTGGAGGTGGAATTACTTTAGTGATGAACAGGCCGAAAGCTGCTACTTACTCTTTGAAAACAACCATGTTCATATCAAATATAGTTAGAACAGGCAAACAGTGGGTACTTCTTCCAAACCATTTCTTTACTCCAAATATTCTGCTTCGTCCTGTAACTTGCTGACTGTAAGTGTGCAGTGTAAACCAGCCTTCATTACCACCATCTCTCCTATTCGGTCACTATTGCTCTCCTCCTGTGCAGATTGACCGCTGCTGATTTTGAAGAGGATGAGGACGAGATGAAGCGGCACCTTGCCCGAATGGGCAGCCATCCGTCGACGCCATGTGACAGTGGCTGTGTGAATGACAGTAGCGGTGTCGCCAACAGTGCAGCTTTGCAGAGAAACAATTCCAGCGAGCAGGTATGTAATTGTTTTGCGGAAAGAGTTGAAGAGTGAACCAGTGGTCAATGTCTGAAATGTGAAGTGTGGCACAGAACCAAGTAAGGAAGCTGTAATGAACACATATTCTGGGTTGATGCAAAGTGCTTAACTCCAACGGAAATGGGACATCCTCAACCGGCATACTGAAGGCATACTGAAGGTACTGAACTGGGCTAAAATACTAAGAAAGAGCATGTACTTCAGATTCTTCAGCAAAATATTCTGAAAAGTTTCACAAGTAGACTGCTGTGCCTTCTCCTCAGGTGATGTACTGGCATAATAACAGAGGAACAGGGTGATGTACTGGCATAATAACAGAGAAACAGGGTGATGTACTGGCATAATAACAGAGGAACAGGGTGATGTACTGGCATAATAACAGAGGAACAGGGTGATGTACTGGCATAATAACAGAGAAACAGGGTGATGTACTGGCATAATAACAGAGGAACAGGGTGATGTACTGGCATAATAACAGAGGAACAGGGTGATGTACTGGCATAATAACAGAGGAACAGGGTGATGTACTGGCAAAATAACAGAGGAACAGGGTGATGTACTGGCATAATAAAAGAGGAACAGGGTGATGTACTGGCAAAATAACAGAGGAACAGGGTGATGTACTGGCATAATAACAGAGGAACAGGGTGATGTACTGGCATAATAACAGAGGAACAGGAACAATGAATGAAGTACAGCAAAGATGCGATAAAATACGGCAAAGAAAAAACGCTCCAGAGGGCATTCTCTTCTTCTTTTTTCCGTACTCACTAGGCCCAGCTGGATCGCTGTAACGTTCCATGTGGTCTTCGTGAGCCTCTGCTGTTGGATGCAGTGCTGAATCCGAATGGGAAGGACTGGTCGAACAAGAAAATATGAAGGCCCAGTGGTGTCAATGACCCAGTCGTACTAATTCCGTGTTCTTTGTGCTCTCTCTCTCTCTCTCTCTCTCTCTCTCTCTCTCTCTCTCTACCAATCCATATAATTATCTCTCTCTCTGCGGATGAGTCGGTCTGTCACACCAATTGTGAAATTTAGAAGTTTATATTCTAAATTATTTCTCATGCCTGTCTGTGAGTGAAGGATATGACTGTTGAAAAAACCTTTTTTGGCAACGGGAGTGATGCTTTAGTTTTTTTCTTTGTGATTTGTGGCACGTAGTTACGAACTGCTTGCAACTAACTTTTACTTGCCCTACTTCATTCTCCATGACGTATTGGAACTCACGAACTATCCTTTGATGCCCATTTTCTATTACCAGGAATACAGCTCTTTTGGCGGGTTCCGTGCACTATGATTCCGAAACAGCCGTGTAATGGATGAAAGCATACATCTGCTTTGCCAATACTTTCACCCATGCATTCCATAAAATATTCTCAAGCTGCATTTTCACCACTGAATCATCTAGGAAATTATTGTATCGACGATTTATTTTTTCTCGCAACAAAATCAAGTCTAATCAGAATCACAGTACATGTACCTGCTCTCATCAATAAACTAGTATGTTTTCTGCACGATGTTTGCTCACAATGATTCACATTTACAGCAGAAGTAATGGAAATGCAGGGTTGCCAAAAGAAAATCGACTGTGAAATGAATGTAGCAAATGAATCCATTTGGCTGTCTACATAAGAATATTTTAGAGATTGGGAAAAACACTGCCTCATACACCATTGACTGACTGTGTTGTGTCTATGGTGGGTTGTTCAGTGCATGTTCTCCTGAATGGTGAAAGCAGTATCTTGCAGCATATTATAGGTACGGTACAATCAAATCAACCTCTGATGTAGCATTGTACTGAAATTAAACATCATCTCATTACTGCTCTCAATGAGCATAACAGATTGCATCTCATTCCTGATCTCAATGCGCATCACAAATCTCAAGGCTTCTGTTGGGTCTGCATAAGCAAGCATAGAAGTAGAGTGGTTTGCCATCTCCATCTACTCCGGTCAGCGTCTTGGTCTCACCGGTGCGGTGCAGGTACAGCTGTACAGACTTTGCGTCACAGTCCAGCGTGAACGTGATCAGGTCACCATTCTCCCAGGGACTGGTCTTGGCCGCGTCCCGCTGGCCGGCAGCAAGCCCATGCGTGTGACTATCACTCCACCAATAGTAGCCTGTCTTGCCCAGGTGCACGGCTTCCCTGTAGCCGTCCGTGGCTGGTAGCGTGGACACACCAAGGCCGTAGCCGCCACTGCCTATCTCAGTGCCGAAAACCCTGACCTTCCAGCTGTGCACACCACTACTAATCCCCACCGTGCTCAGCACATTGGAGAACTGTCGCTGATCTGTAGACGTATATGAAACCTTTCTACCATCATCCGTTACCATAATGCGCGAGGAACACTTATCAGGATCCATTCTTATCGGTCCAATGCCTTCAAAAGCAATGGTTTTGGTCACGCCGTGCGCAGAAATCTCCAGTTGGTGTTGACCACTTTCAGAGATTGTCACTGGAAACGGGATACCAGGTGTGTCCAGGACACCTCCTATACTTGCTGGTCCCGGTTCATCGTCCTGAGAGGAATGCACTGGTGCGATCAGCATGGATGATGTCGGTGTGATGAGCTTCACTTGAATGCATGACTGACATTCCCCAGCCACCAGTCTAGTGCCGAGCTCACAGCGAAGCTTCAGATGGGCTAGCGTTGGCTGGGACACGGATATCTGCTGGGCCAGAACGATTTCACTCTTCGTCAGATCAGCGCGTGTCTCTTCTTTGCACAATGCCACGACCTTGCCGAGTGCATCAACAGCCTGGTCTACTGCTTTGCCTGTCGCCATTGCCAGTATGGAGCGATGTTTCTTGATATCAGTCTTGGTAAGTATGTTCTCACCAAGAAGCTTGAAGTTCTCCTCCACTAGAGAACCCAGCTGAGCAGCCAACGAATCTGAAGAGCCAGCATCCGACAGTGTCTTTGCCAGGTTCTCTGCCAGGCTCAGCTGCGCTGCCATTTGCTGAAGATCGGTTTTTTGTTTTTTGAGACGCTTCTGTTCATCCCAGTATTCAAAGTCGACCGCTCGGAGCAGCGTGTACTTCTCCTGATTCAAAGCGGCTTCGATCCTATCAAACACAGTGTTAATCATTGCCGATGCTGTTTCCACCTCAGTCTTCAGCGAAGTCATCCCGCCATCAATTTCATTGATCAAAGCTTTGCATCTGTATCCAGGATTGTCTTGGCGATTGGGAGGTTCATTCAACAGGGCAGATAGAGATTGCCGTTGCCTCTCAGCTGCATCGGCGAGGGAGACTAGATCATGATTAAGATGGGCATATGCTGTGCACTGATCACACACAACATGTCCACAGGTTTGGCAGAATACTGTCACCTTCTGTTTGGAGTGCAGCATGCATGAAGTGGAGCCGTCCTGGTTTTCTTCTTTGCCGGCTTCTTCCAATTTCCTCACCTGATGTCCACGGAAGAGCCTTTTCTTGGAATGCCCAGCTGCGCACGCATCACAAAGCAAAGCACCATTGCAACTGGCACATTCATGTGTGGCTGGATTCGCTGCATCGTCATCGCATAGTTCGCACTCGGGCTGGCGGGAACTCCGGCCATTTCCCTTGGCTTCAGCTGAACTGCATGGGTAGAGTAATGGGCGACTTTCGACCAACTGGCGACCTAGATCCACTCCAGGCAACCTTGGACTCGTGATCTGTCCGCACATAACACACTTCACGCAACCAGAGCCGGTGACCACGTCGCTCAAACACGATCCACAGATGATGTGAAGACACCGTAGCAGCCTTCCGTCCGCTGGCTTCCGTGTGTGGCATTCAACGCATTCTTTTGCCCCATCATTGGCATCTACGGTACAGAGTTCAGGACTGGTCGCTGGCGTTGCCATACTGGAGCAAGATAATATGTCTTGGTACTAAAATTTCTGATTATCCACATGCACGGGCGGAGGTTCGGGGGTTGGAACCTTCTTTAGCCCTAGGCTTTCGAACCGGACTCAGGGTAGAGAATACTAGAGATCATGGACCAAGTGAACGGGCTGTGGCATATTGGATGATGCCGAAATGGCCCTTTGGAAAGGAGAGCATGCGAGGATTTTCCGGTCACCAACAATGGCAACACCGAGCTTACAGGGCACAAGGATAATCGCCACAGCGAGGGCTAGTCCATTTACATTCCAGCAGTTTCTCCTTTGCTAAAGCTACATTACTGTAAAACAGAATCGGACTGAGCAAAGCCACTGGATGTGCTGCTTTCGGAGCAAATACTAGCAATGAAACGAACGACGTATTTGCTCAGAGATGTGCCAATGGCCGTAGATCTACGGGTACTAAACACGACGTAGCAGCAAGAGCTTTGCCTGTTCCGCGCCGGTAGGACTGGCACTTGTCGGTTGTCCATCGAACCTGTCCAGAGAGTGGCAGAGTGCTGCTGTAGATGTACAGTGCAGCACTGCTAGGTTGTTTAGTTTACCTTGACCATGTTGACAGCCTTTCGGAGCGTGCGAGGTCCCGAAGGCTTGTTATACTACAGTTTTGTAGTACGGTAGTAGACCTACTTACCAAACTGTCGTCTCCACTGGAGGACGTGGTATTGGCTTGACTGCAAGACAGTACTCGATCGAGTAATAGTACTCAAGCCTCTTGTACGGGAAAACCTGTCGTCTTCACGTAACGTTATGCACCAGTGCAAAATGTCCGCCGTCTGCAGTGCAGTAGACCTACCTCTCTACTCTCGACTCTAGCGCACGATCTGGATTGCGGCATCCTGGTGTTGGTACATGTACAATAATGTATGTACAATCATGTAGATCTACGCGTGGTCCCGGCTTGCACCTCGTAGTGGCATAGTTATTGTCTTGGTTGACCAAACTATGAGGCAGGTTGAAGTAGCCTCTACTAGTTTCTTACAAGCATAGATATACATGTAGCTGACCAAGGTAATGAGCTCAGGTTTGCACATTACCAGGGAAGAATCAAAAACGCAGGATAATACTAGCGCAGGACTACCATGCACTCAGTTAGAGATTCAGAGTACCTGCCATAATCAAAGCATCTCGCGTTATGCATTCCGTGCATTACAGAAAAGAAGATATCCCTGGTCAAAGCCAAAGGGCAACTGCGTGATACTCCATACATCAGGATACTATATACATGTACATGTAAGTACAAAGTTTTCGTTTGGAATTAACTTTCGCTATATTTGTTAGGGGGCACGAAATAACTCAAGTTTTTTTCTGAACGTTCGGGGTGACAGACCTCGACCAAAACGATATTAGTACGAAACGAACCTGCTGGTGGAGTGATATAACGAAAGATTTCGTATACGAAAACTTGCACCTATACAGAAGTAGATCTACTCGACGGAAGCACAAATACGGAAGATGCTCTAGGTATCCTTTCTTTTACCAGTTTACTATCAGCTACTGGTAGCTGATCGTGTTATACATACATGTATATACTGGTCCGGTTTTTGGGCTACACTTTGAGGTTGTATTGCAGGCAGGCATAGTGAGATGGTCTAAGACCATGATTGAGAAACAGAGGGTACCGGTTCAAGTCCTGCTTGGAAGCGGAAGGATTTTTTCCAGCCGTGCTGCGATCCACGGTTAATTGGGAACTCGTGGCCTGGCACGAGAGAAACATGGATGCAGTGAATGGGATTATCGGTCTTTGACCACTTTGTGGTGGGTCTGATCTACTTACCTCCCACCGCTTAGGAGCTGCATCTGCGCCTTAATCCAAGAGGGTGGTGGCGTTCCTGCGGATGCGGAAAACTGGGCCTTTGGCCGAATCTCACGCGAACCGTGATTTTTTTGAGGTTTTGCCCTGGACAAGCTTGTAAGGCCAAAAGAACTAAGCTCGTGAGATATCTCTGATCTACCCAAGCAACTCCAGGAGCATTCAATAGTATCCATTGGAGAAACTCAGTGCTGTCTCAAGTGATGGATTTAGCCGCTATTATGTCTTTACAGCATGACATTGTAACGATAATCAAGAATGCGATGTACAGTGATACATGTACGTCATGTATACACTGCTTCAAACGTGCATACTAGTACAGTCATACTGCTATCAAGCTCGGCCCCATTTTCTCTGTGCTGCGCTGATGAGTCCACAAAGCCTAGGACGAAACAGTTCTGTGGAGTGCCAGTACATGATTGTGGCACCCTGATCATGGATATACAAGTACAAGTACATGACAAAGGTCAAAAAGAATGGTTTCACCAATTATAGAAACATACGTTGTAACGCTGCGTTTCATGCACGTAGCTAAATGCTAAGGCAATCATCAGACAACGTTGACCTTTGTGGTTACGCTCCGCCCCTGTGGTGTTGAGCACTGTTGAAACCTGGGTATACCCACTTATGTGTATACAAGTACATGTATGTGTTCAAAGGATCAGTCGGTGACTCGGTGATGTGGAAAAGAGACAGAATACTGGTAATGCCAAACCCATGATCTGGACTCGAACCCTGTACCAGTGCATGGACATGTACATTCATGTATACGGTATGCAACTGCTGTAATTGAGGTTTTATCGGATATACTGGTATGGTACTTTTTCAGAAGCACACAATGTACGTAGACTTTCTAGTCATTTGATTTCAGATACACACTGTGACAGTACCTCGCCTCCGCTGTAAAGTACAACAGTATTTGTTATGCCTCCTCTGTTTATTTCTTCACCCTCATCGCTGCAAATTCTAACCAGTTTCTTCAGCACTTGACTTTTGTCAGGCAAACAAAGCACAGATTCCGTGAAAGCGACCAAGGACAGTACTGCATGTTTCCGCCCTAGTATTTGTCTGCAGGTGCAACTACAAGAACTCTCAAGACATCTGCAACTGAAGTGTACATTGTACAATGCACTTCCTATGAGGCTTCTTGCATAATACATGTACGATGTGGTATGCATTTCAAACTACATGTACTTGAAGTATCAAGACGATTATCTGTGAGCATTGAACTGGGACATGATCAAGCAAGAGAGAAAATGAAGCACGATGCTAGGCTGGTGAAATAAAACAACCCAGGGAAAAGGAAATGTGTGTGATGTACATGTAAGCTCTAGTCTTGCAAGGATTTTATGACTGGACTGCAGGTAGTTCTGTAAAAATAGACATACACTGATCACATGATCCTTCAGTTCAGTATCAAAAATCACAATCATTGTGGCTTTTGGAGCAAATAGTTAGGAAGAAGGCGGACCTGCATTGAAGTTGCCCACAATTTCGGACGTTGTTAGAGCCACGGAGTAATAGCGCATTGTCACGTGGGCATCGTAGTCAAGGATGCATGACGTCACCGGAGGAACCTGGAGCAGCGGGTCGAGGAAGTACCAGCCGTACTTGCGTAACTGAAGACCATCGCTGAGAATGCCGTTGTTGAGGAACATCATCACTCCCGCAGAGCCGTCCATTACGATAACTATGTGCGAGAAAGTGCGCTTGGAGCGCACGTCGAACCTCAGCGCGTCGCTATGGAAGTAGGCAGTGTCCACTCGCAGCCAGACACCAGTGGAGTTGATATTTACTGCGATGCTCTTAAGATCTTCATTGCACTCCTGACAGCTCTCCGTGCACGATAGTGGCGTATTGGCTGGGATCGTATGGTTGATATGCTCAATCCAGAACTCCATGGTCATCGAGGCATGGTCCTGAACGGAGGGAAATCGTGGTGCGTCGAAGAAATTTGCCTTGTTGTCGGCTGTGTATATTTCGGCTAGACCACGCTTGGTGACCTCTGCCATGCTGCTCTGCTTCCAGAGATTTTCTATGAGGGTTGAAGGAATGTGATGGATTCTGCCTGTCTCCTTGTTTGTCTCGGCTACATAGTACAGATGATCCTGGTCTTGGAATATGTCTGGATAACCTATACCGTGTCCAATATTCTTGGTGGTGTAGAGCAATATCTCTGGCTGAGACCAGACGATATTGGGCTGGCCTATGCCGTCTATCTCCACGCCACCACTGATCCAGTACGGGTTCCTCCAGGTAGATGCCAGAGATTGGTTATGGTGCAACCAGTACTCGTTGTCGCCATTGTTATAGAACAGAATCAGGTACTTCCCGTCGGCCATTTTACGCGGGGTGATCGGCCCATTTGGGTTCTTCAGGAATGCGACCGGGGCTGTCCCCATGCCCGGCTGTCGGGAGTAGATGGCGTATTCAGGTTCAGAGAAGGTCTCCCCTCCGTCGTGTGATATTCCAACGTTGATGTAACCATCAAATGTCCGATATGCGAAGTAAAGATCTCCGTTAGACATGGCCAAAAGATCACCTTCCTCAGCGAGCCTACCTTGGGTTGCACGCAGACCCACATCAGACTTGGGCAGTGTTCGCCAAGTGATCTTTGATGCATCCTCTTCTTCCAAGAGGTTGTCACTGGCCAACACGAAGTTCTCCATTTGGATGTAGCCCAGGCTACGGTCCTCTTGAATGCTGCCCCGCTTCGTGAACTGCATCAGGACTGTCCTGTCCTTGACGACAATAGGCTTTCCCACTGTCCAGCCCAGTCGCACCTTGCCATGATACTCATTCGTCTCATCAATACGCTTCTCCTCTATTGGTATCGTGTATCGCTTGGACCAAGTCGCGCCTCCATTTTGGCTGTATCGGAAAGCCTGTACGCCAATGATGTCATTGCGAATGTGAGCCGTACTGTTTGGTAGGGTGGTGATGTTTAGCTCGTTGTACGTGTAGATGGCATAGATGCGCTTGGTTTTGGGAGCGTAAACTGGAACCACCCAGGCACTTGGCGGTCCATACTCATTGCGTGGCTCGATGTCGACGTGTTCTGGCCAGGTCTTGCCTTTGTCCTTGCTGCGTAATGCAATTACTCGCTCGTCATTGCCGCCTTCCTTTTTATCACCTTCCGTTAAAACGCACACCCAAGTACCATCTTCCTCCACGATAATACCTGGCTGATCGTAGTAAGCAGCACGGTCAATGATAGGCTGCCCATTGGCGATGTTCCGCCAGTCATTGTCTCGTGGATCACCAGCAACATAACCGAGCAGACAGCTGCACAGAATCACGGACGCTGCTGTCCGTAGCGCAGACATCCTTGGCCTCGGTCCTGGCGTCCTGTTCGGAATTGTGCTCAGCAAGATAATAGTATATTAGACCTCTGTGATGAATGGCATGGATATGAGTCCTTTCGACCTTCTCACGCCCTGTGATTCAACAGCAACAACAAGAACAACTGGATATGCCGTTACTTGTGAGTACAAAATCTACAGGATAAAGTAATTTAAATATCCACGGTCTTGTATTCTCTATTTCTTCTATGATCGGCGAATTATTTCAGGGAGCTAGCGTCTGCAGACAGCCCGACAAGCAAAATGCCCCAATCATTGCAGTGTGCATGATGTAGTCGTCAAATTACGTACTTCAAAGTAGTCGGAGTGAGTCATAATTATGCTGTCCGGACTGCCGTGCGGACTGCGGAGTCTTCAAGCACATGACAAAGGAGTGCTGTCGATTACCACAATCACATGGTCGATGGCTGACTGACTGACTGCTTGCTAGTTCTGCTGTCATTGTACTTTGTAGTGATAATTATGGCAGACAAATTTTTGTAAAGTATGACCCTGGCAAGGTTTGAATGGGACCCAGGAGAGGCGGATAATGATACTCGCCGAGTAGTACAACTAACGTGCCATCGTGTTGCGTATGCACTCACTGTGACTGTGCGTGGTCCAGCATGCAGCTTTCAGAGTTTGGTGGAATTCTAATTGACGTAGAGTCCGAGATTCGCGAAAGAAACCCCGCCCGAACGCTACTTTTTTTACCACTAAAACACTGCGTCATGTACATGTTATTGAAAGAAACCCCGCCCGAACGCTACTTTTTCACCACTAAAACACTGCGTCATGTACATGTTATTGACATTGGTCTGGTTATCCGATGTATTCAGCATTCGTGGAGAACATGTAGGTTATGGATGAGGGAGATGGGAGAACATACATACACAGTAATGAAAACATATCCGTAGCATCTACTGGTACGATGTATGTACATGTATCATCCATGCTGGTGTAGCTTCCAATATAGTCAAAGACTCCCAATCATCTGCACTGTGCCAATTGCGCTTCGGAAGGAATGCTCATGTACTGTGAAGAAGTTCTTCCAGTTTCCTCAGATCATGATCTAAGGTAAACCTCTTGTAGTCTTGTGTGTCTGGACACTGACTGCAACCATGGTAACGTCACGTGTAGGCGTGGACATGTACACGTATTTAGCTGCACTTCCACAGCATCAGTGGCCTCGGAGTCCACGAGGAGTGTGTAGTCGTGTACATTACTGAGAATCCATCCCTGCGTTGTTCGAGCATAAAATGCAGGCACCCGGTGTGTGCCAGATGATCATCATGCTAGTACTGGTACGTATAACAATTACATGCCAGATTTTACCCAGTTTCTGTCGGAAACACATCCACTCCATGCGCGTTCTGCATCGCCTCTGGTGACTGGCACGACAGTCCACAGGAGACAGCTGCGTTGTACGTACCTCCACGGACATCAGGACTCAGGCCAGTCAGGGTGCTGTTTACCAGGTGCTATACTGTGTTCTACGCGAACAGAGTCAGTGACATCGTCAGGTAGATTCTTGTTTTTGATGTAACATTTGCATAGCCCACGGTGTGCATATCCTGGTTTCTTGTAGCTCAGATGTTGCACGCGTGATTTGGGCGCCATCGAGGCCACCACACGGATCAGTGCATTGTGGTCCATGATGTCTAGACTGGAGTATGGGTGACTTGAGCTACGTCTGGGAGTGTTCGCCATGACAGACTCAGTGGTATGGTCAGTCGGGGGTTACGCAGTACTGCAGTACTGCACCGTATTCCGCAGCTGTCAAGGGTCAGGTGGCACATAGGGGCTTGTGGACACGAGCGTCCCGTGGTCTGACGCATTCACGCCTTTGGACATTTGAGAGGATGACTGAGAACAATATGCTCCAAACCAAAATGTTAGCAAGGAAAAGGTTTCTATTGCCGAACGAATGAGAATGGTTATTGACTTGCTCAAAGCACTAGCGTCTCTGTCGTCTAAGAAGACAGTAGCAACACACCAGCCAATACGACACTTGCCAGAGTATAGCGACCAACCATACTGGTGCAGAATTCAGGGGTAAAGCCTACTAAAGGAGCTGCGTGATTGAAGTGTGTGGAAACCACGTGTTCACATCCATCCATCAGCTGAAGTAGTGAGGCAATACGGCAGGCAACAGCTGTAAACATTTACTGGAGGAGTAGCAGCGCTAAGTTCTGCGAAACGCCATGTGTATCTATGATAATGGCACGCAGGTTCGGATGGGAGTCACTAAAGGCTCGATGGTACTGACTGCCCTGACTGCCAGTCTGTCTCTATTCGGCAGTGCTGCTATTATTATTACGTTCATACTATGGCGAGAGATACGCACCACGTCCAGGTACATTCTCGTGTTCATTTCTATAGCCGATTTTCTGACGAGCGGCGGCAATCTCTTCGGAGCCATAGTGCCTGATCACATAATCAACGGTTATGATGTGTGCGCTGTGCAGAGTCTAGTGACCACCTCCAGCTGCCTGTCATTCATTATGTGGACCATAATACTAGCTCTGTACCTCTATCTGAGTATTGTCCGTGGAAAGGTGCAGCCTTCGTACGAGATGAAATACGTGTGGGTTGTGTTCGGTTGGGTCATTCCGCTCACGGTCACCATATTCGCTTACCTGCTCAACGTCCTGGGCGATGACAAGTCTGCAGCATCCGCTGGTTGGTGCTGGTTGAATGAGGAGCCGGAGTTTCCAAGGGAAATAAAGTGTTCTCAGGCTCGACTCATGTGGTCCTTGCTAACAGGGAAAGGCTGGGAAATCCCATCCTATTTCATTGTTCCCATCCTGTACTTCAAAGTGAAGCGACACATTTCAAATGAGGTACGTTTGCGGTCATGTCTTAAATTCCGAGCCTGTTTGCATCATATTAAAGCTTGGATACCTACAGTCCATTCATTGGAAACTGGCACCCTAACTTTTTGGTGTCTCTCTCACATAGTTGTAGATATCGTGAAAACAACAGTACATCCTGCATTGTGTGATCCGTGCAATTACTCCTAGCCACATTTGAGGCCAGTAAAGTCCAAGAACAGGGAAATATATTCAGCCAGGTTTTACAAAATTGGGACAGGTATGCCATGGCAAAATGTATGGAGAAGCAGATCCAAAACCCAGATTTTTGAGATTTAAGTGGGTTTTTGATCCTCAATTCGGCCTAAATCGGACTTTCAAAAGCCAGCGGGACAGTTTCCGATGAATGGACTGTACAGCGCTGCTCAATGAAATCCAACCGAGCCAGACAATGCCACGCCGGGCGCTGTGCAGCCCTAGACCTGTGAGTAAGAACTGGTGCAGGGCGTGGACTTGACCCCCCCCCCGATCGGATTTCATTGGGCAGCACAGCTATGCACTTTAAAAACATAATTATACGGGGCTAGCAAGCTGGTCCCATCAGTACAGAATAGTCCTGTCCCTAAGATGCCATAAATTTTCGCAACTTATGCATTTCGCAACCGGGTCAAAACAAGTGCAAGTTGCTAAAATCGCATCCATATTATCAGAAAAAGCTCAAAAGTTGCTAACATCGCAACTTGAAATACCGCTAGAAGTGCAGCGACATCAAACTCGTACATCACTCCCTTCCGGCTGTGAACCACCACTTTACACAGTGCCAGTAGCCTGTTGCATGTATCCTACACCATTCAAGTGCACGGAAAAGGGAATGCACATTATCGTAACCACCGTTGATCTACTGTTTCTCTGAAATGAGTCTGAAGGCAGGCGAGAAACGAGCGAGTATGCATTTGTCCGACAAGCAGTCTGTGACTTGACCTTCTGACCCCATGTCATTGAGCCAAGGTTGCGGAAAAGTTGCGAAATAGTTCGCGAAAATAAAGAAAGTTGCGATTTCTTCCTAAACAACGAAAAGTTGCGAAAAATGTAGCGAGCATCTTTGGGAAAAGGCCAGTACAGAAGGTTCACTTTCACCATGAATGTTTGATAACCCTCCCCACACATTTACCCGATTGAGGCAGCCTCATCGGTTATCAACCTACATAAAAAATGTCCCCCTCCATTGGAAATGCTGGACATTGTAGGAGGTTGGTCAGTGTCGTGCAATGTTATCGCATTAGCTGATTGTCAAAGTACATGTAACTTGTGCAGTGGTGGTGTTAGTGGACGTTATAGTGCAACTTGCATTTCCTTGTTTCACACAGTTATATACCAGTACTCGAAAACAGTCTCTTGGCTACAAATTCTTCCAAAAATAATAAAATCCAAATTTTCAGGCCAAGCCCATCTTCAGGAATATTATTCGATTTTTGGAAGAATTTGTAGCCAAGAGACCGTTTTCGAGTACTGGTGTATAACTTTATTAATGCGATTAATAGTATAAGTGAAGCGGACATTACAAAATGATGAATGAGAATACATGTATCTAAAATGGTTGTTCCTAATCGATTTTATTGAGACTATCATCAGGGAAAAATCGTCTCACAATAGAGGCTATACGGAGAAACAAACTACTTATAGGTTATAGGATAGTGGGAAGTGTGCAAGGTGAGGTGTGAAAAGAAAAAAAGAAAGTGGGAGAGAAGACGAAAGAAATTAGAAGAAAAGATGTGAGAGTGTTCCGACGGTGTGAGCTACTACAAAAGGTGAGTGAAACTGTGTTAAACATGAAGTGGCTACAGTGGAGTCTGCACACCCTTAGGAAGATGTATTTCCTTAGTCCTTTTTTTTCCTACAAGTTGAGGGAGTGCAATGACATAAAGTGGATGGATTTGGGAATTCCATTGACTTAGACTATATTATGGAAGTTGATTTCTTTGCGACTCTCTTTTCATCCAGAGTCGTACAACTCGCCATACACTGGTCACAGCTCAGTCCATGCACGCTGCTCAGCTAGTCAACCGCAAGCTGGCGTTCGTCCCAATGGCGTATGTACTGCTGCGGATGTGGGGCAGCGTGAGATACATTTTCGACATAGCGGGGGTTGATGACGTCATCTACCGGGATCGAAGATGGCTGTACAATGTATTCCTGTGCCTGCAGGTAAGTAGATGGACAACACAGTTAAAATGTACTGCTGTAATTCATGAAGATGCTAACGAAGTACATGTACATGTAATGCAATCACCACGTGTGAGAAAAGCAACTGTGCGTGCATGTACATAGCCTTCAAAATTTGAAGGTGCAATCCACTCAACAACTCGAAATTGATCCATGAAAAGCCAATGCCGCCCTGAGTCAGAACCTAGAAACAGTGTGCTCTGCGTGAAGTGAAACCTGCATATTTAAGATGAGTCACAATTAACTCTTCTAAATGCCCTATTGATACTGTAGGTAGGTACATTTTTATTTGAATTCGCAGAACCAAACGGGCGGTGTCGCCCAATTACATGGAAGCGAATGGAAACAGTAAAATATTGTACAAGTAGGAAATAGCCTAACATGATAGCAGGGTGTAGTACAAAGCAAAGAACGATCAGTCAATGAATAGCGTTAACGTTAGAATACAACACCGGGGAGGCGGTAAACAGCACACGACTGGTACTGTGGAGTAACGCAAACGTTCAAAGGTTCCTGTAGTGTTCAGTAGTGGGTGCTACTGCTAGCAAGACAGAACGGGAGGCAGGCTTGTTTGAACTGGTGGTACTGGGTAATACCACGCACGTCGGATGGCAGGGTGTTCCATAAAATGGACCCGCGAGCGGTTGGACGGTCGTGGCCGGCTTTGGAGGCAGATTTGGGCACTCGAAGGCCCAAGCTGCGTTGCGCGCGCGTTGTTCGAGGACTGGGACGCTCCAGAAGGGCTTGCAGTGCATTGCTTGCCCGACCATTCGAGCAACGCCAGATCATAGCTAGAGTAATCAGTAGTGCCACATACCTGTACTGAGTATGTGCACATGTACATGCAGTAGTATGAACAAAGAACCCAAATAAAGCCAAACAACAACAACAACAACCCAGATTCTGGCACCCCGATGCAAGTTTCATCTCCAACTGCTATGAACACGTCTCTTACGGCTAATTCTACGTCATTCGACTCACGCACTTTGATCCCGAGATATTTCCCTTGTTTACCATGCGCATACAAGTACAGGGGTCTTGGTTCAGTGCAGAATAGATGTCCCTGTAGCGACTTCAACAGGCCACTTTTAGATTAAGCATTGGGTATTACGCTCCTCGACATTCGTCTTGTTGAGCGCTTAATGTCTGCGGTGCCTCCTTTGCACCATGGCTGGTAGCTTGGTTTGCTTAAAGCTCGTAGCTGTACTGATGAGGCCTATATAGCCGAAACAACCTGTTGTCTACAGCATTAGGTAGCTTCTTCTTCTAAACTTTCAATGAAAATGCTTGGCCGCTGCAGCACAAAAAAGCACCAGCATAGTTGACACTGCCACGGCTGCCGCCATCGCTCAATTTGCCTGACAACCTGATCTCCATTGCAGCTTTCGTGACGTATGCCCCAAAGTGAACAAAGCTCTCGTCTTGCCACAGATGACCCAGGGGCTGTGGTTTTGAACTAACATTATACTTCAGCAATACTATACATCCACTACCGCATCAGTTGGAGGGAATGAAAAGGGCAATACTTTACTTCTTCAGCTCCAGGAAAGATCTCATGTACATTTGTACACGCCAAGGGAAATTTCTACCTGGCAAGATAAATCATTCGAACCTACTTCTAAATGTTGCACTGTGTCTGCGCATGACTGCATTTACATTTTCTCGCCTTGTCCTTTTAATTGTCCTTTTTCTTCCCGTTCTAGGCGATTGGTGATAATGGCCAAGGCTTTGCCAACTTCATCCTATTCTGCATCTTCACCAAGTCGGTGCGGAACAAAATCCTCGGCAAGTTTATCTATTCCTGCTGCATGGTGAAGCGAGAGAGTCCTGAGACTTTACCTATATTGCGTAGCCAAAGGCGGCACGACACACGGAGAACGAAGTCGGATCTGCCGCGCAAGCCGTCTGGCGACAAGGATCGCATGGCCACAGTAAACATTGAGACGCAAGTATCGCTAAGTCACAGCGACAGTATACCGTAGGGAGTATACAGAATCAAACTTCATATGCTTAGGAACATATTCACATCCGAACTATCCTTTCACTTGAATGTTCCTACCCTACGTACAACTAGTTTGTGCTGAATGCACCTACTGGTACTTGCTTAGTTGATCTACAATGCATACTTGACAATTGTACCACTCATTGCCGAACCTAGACTAGACATTAGCAATTCCACCACAGGTATAAGCTCTCTGCGCTTCACAGCAGATTGCATTCTTCTAGGGTGATATCCACGACTGTGTGCCTCCTTTGAGGAATTTTTTTCCACTCTACTTCCACCTTATCCCATGACTTCATCAGAACAAGCAGCTTCAGCCCAAAGATAGGCCTTTTGATCATACATACCGGCAATGCAATAATGCCCCACGGGCACCTTCACTACAAAATTTGACTCCAAGGCACGACACCTACCGCTATTTTCCCTACATGCCCTGCCTCCAGCCTTTCTTTTCAGTTTGATATTGTAGCAGAATTGCAGATGGAAATGTATTTGAGATTTCGTGTATTGGAATTTTGCAGCATAACTGGACTACAGTAGTGCAACAGAGTATGGGCAGCTACAAAGGTTAGCCCTTGGCGGATAATACTTGAAGAGCAGTGAAATTGGCAGAACCATACAAACCTTATAGCAGGCACTTCATTGAATTCTGCTCCATTTCTTTATCTACACACCAAACATACATGAAACATACCAGAAAAGTACCAAGTTCTGCCAATGTTTCTGCCGGCATTGATTTCCCTAACAAAATACCGTATTTCCCCGTAAGTTAGTTCTCCCCAATGACTTAGTACCCCCTGTAAAAAAACACTTTCCACTGCCAAGGTTATCACCCCGAAAGATAGTAAGTTCGTACCCGTCCTACATGTACAGACACCGTACAGTACCTACATCATATTTTTTTTTTTTTTTTTTTTTACTATTATTCACAAACCCAACTCGTAAAATAAATAATTATGTGGACAAAAACAAACAGCTACTGAGCAGGGGCTGCACTGGGCAGCAGTGATGGTGAGGTACCAGGGGCTCCACCGACCAAAGGTCTCGGCTTCAATGCCACAAGCACGCACCAGGAAAAAGAAACAGAAATGTAAAGGAAAAGCTAGATCTAGCTATGGGGAAGTAGAATAGAAGGTAAAAGTACCGGTAGGTGTTTAGAAAAATAAAAACAAGATGAAAAGAGATTGTTTATTATCAGTGTTTGGACTGATATACAATGTACATGTCAACTTCATCAACCAAAACTTATGACCTTTTTTAATAGATCTGAAACGAAACTCCCACAAAGAAGTGTAAAGAAAACAAGCTAAAAAACAGAAAAATAATAAGGCACCCATTTTGATAATCCAGGGGATGGCCCACGCCTGGTAAAAGAATAAGCAGAGAAAAGAAAAGAATCATAACAAGTTTTTCCATGTATGCAAAACACAGCTGAGCACTCTGAGCAAGGCCAGGTACGCGGATTAGCGGGTCCGGCAAGCGACGAGCTCGAAAAATTACAGGGAATCTGTTGCCCAGTACCAGTTGCTGTCTCTCAGGTGTCGGTAGACCTTTGTCTTGAATGACTGAAAACGTGTTTTGTGTGGGCGCTGCGACAGCAGCCTGTCAGGAAGGGAGTTCCATGCGCCAATACAGCAGTACGGGAACGACCGCTTCACGACGGATGGAGCTGAGACAGGGAGTGTGTCTGACAGTTGATAGGCGTGGCTGGTGGCATTATTGTGCTGGTTCCTGGTTCTGGGGTTGGCTGGAGAAACGCGATGCGGTGGCAATACAGCAAGTAGCTGAGGAGGACCAGTAATGAAATGCAATTTGTACATGCACGAGAGAGCAGCAACAGTCCGGCGGACAGCCAGACTGGGGAGAATTGCACCAGGGCCAATGATGCGCAGTGCGCGGCGTTGAACATTATCCAGACGTTGGATGTGGCTGGCTGGCGCGCCCATCCACACAAGCGGGGCATACTCCATCAGGGGCCTCACGAATGCCTTGTAGACAGTCGTTCGGCCAGCTGGCGTTAGAATGTGGGCCGCTCGTCGGAGAAAGCCGAGGCGCTGCTGGGCGCGGATGGTCACGGTCCTGAGGTGACTAGCGAAGGACAATTTGGAGTCAAATCGAACACCAAGCAGTGATATGCTGGTTTCCTCCGGTACAGGGGTGCCACCAAACAGGATTTGGGGCAGGTCTAGGTCAGTGCGTCGGAGGGTAGCAGTCATAGCCTGTGACTTGCTGGGCTCGAAAGACACTTTCCACCGGCAACCCCACTCATGCAGGCGGTTTGTGGATACCTGCAAGGTGTGTGCAGCGTCCCGAGGGCACTGAGCTGAGGATACTAGACTGTATAGTGTCGTATCGTCCGCGTAGGCCTCAAGCTGAGCATTGCCATCAAGAACATCGGCAGCGTCATTCACGTATATTAGAAACAACGTAGGGCCCAATATACTGCCTTGGGGCACCCCTGCAGAGATTGGGTAGAGAGAAGAAATCTGACCGCCGACTAAGCACTGGAGTGAACGGCCGTCAAGATAAGACGATAGCCAGCTATGGAGAGTGCCAGTAATGCCGAGCTGCCGGACCTTGTAGAGGAGGCCCACGTGGGAGACCCGGTCAAAGGCCCCGGCTATATCGACTGCGAGAATTCGTGCCGCGCCACCTTGGCCAACGATGTCCACCCAGGCGTTATGAAGCGCCTGTAGTGCGTCTGCCGTGCCGAGACCTCTACGGAACCCAAACTGGTGGGGAGTGAGGAGCTGCTGGCGCTCAAGATGGTTCATCAGTTGGCGATTGACAATAGTTTCCATTACTTTGGACATTATGCATAATAACGAGACTGGGCGGTAGTTCTTCAGAACAGAGCGCGAGGACCGTTTGTGGATCGGTACCACGTTAGCTGTCTTCCAAGATTCTGGTTGAACTCCGCACCTGAAACAGAGAGCGAATAGCTGGGACAAAGGCTTCGCAAGTTCTTTGGCACACTCTTTCAGGACCCGGGCTGAAATGCCGTCAGGACCAGTCGCCTTTGATATGTCGAGTCGCGCTAGCAGACGGTAGACAGTGGCGGGGCGAAAATGAACGGCTGCGAGTGCCGGTGCTCCGGTTGCAACAAGGTCAGGTAAGTCGTCAGAAGTAAGATCCTGGCCAGTGACACTGCACTTCCTGGAGAAGAAGGTGGCAAAGGCCTCCGATTTCTCATGGCTTGTTGCCAACTCCCGTCCGCCCGCGTCAACAATGAGAGGAATGTCCGTGTTACGTCCGTCCCCACTAGCATACTTTAACTTGGTCCACCATTCTTTGTCCTTGAGTGAGCCCGTGGACAGGCTGTGACGGATACTGGCCTCTTTAGCTTCCTGGGATCGCCTTAGGATGTTGACGGCTGTGGTAACGGAGCGGAGGAAAGCTTGTTTGAGTGAAAGATCGTTCGGGTGTTTTCTCCAGGAACGCCAACGTTTGTCCTTTTCCCTCATAGCAGCTGTACATTCCGGTGTCCACCATTTTGGATCACTCGGCCTCGTGGTAAGTTCCTTAGATGGGACAAACCTGGCTATTGCGCCTCTGATAGTGGAGGTTACCCGCGCACAGGAGGTGTCCGGGTCATCAGTTATGATGTCGTGCCCTGGAGAGTTGCGAAGGAAAGCTCGGAGGCGATGCCAGTCTGCGCTCTTGTACCGCCAGACAGTTCGCTTTGCTGCAGGCTCGTGGCAAGGTAATATGCCTACGAAGTCGGATAGAACGATAACGTGGTCAGACCGCCCAAGAGGGGGTGTGGCGGTTGTCAATACTGGGGAGTTGAAGGTAGACATCACGAGGTCAAGGGTATTGTCGCCACGAGTAGGAGTCTGAACATGCTGCGTAAGGAGGTGTGCGGCACAAGTGTCCTCAAGTGCTTCGCCCGCCGGTGTGGTCTTTGAGCTGTTTAGCCAGGCACGGTTGTGAACGTTAAAGTCCCCAGCAAGAATGAGACTAGCGCCGTGTTGACGGGCCAAAGGAAGGGTGTCGTCGAGATGATGGATAAGTCAGAGGTCACCGGGCCCGCAAGAACCCGGCCGGTAGACACCTCCCAGGACAATCTTGTGCCCGGCGCTGAGCTGGATGGACACCCACAAGACTTCATGCTGGGGGGCGGCCAGTTCATCGATGATCAAGGCTGGGAGAGTAGATCGCACCCAGATTGCAACTCCACCACCGTGTGCTGTGCGGTCAAGCCTGAATGGAGGGCTATAGCCCGGGAATATCGTGTCCGACACTTGGACCTTCTCTGTTGTGAACTTTGTTTCGGTTACCACTGCGACGTCAGGGTTGTGCTGTAGCAACGCGTGCTGGAAGTCGCCTAACTTGCTACTTAACCCGAACGCATTTGTGCACAAGAGGCGAAATGGAGCAACCATGGAAGAAACAACAAGAAATAAACGAAAAGCTAAAAAATACCAAAATGTAAACCTAGAGCTAAAGTTCTTAAAAACAAAAAAGTCCTGAACGTGTTTCTAAGATTTAAAAACGCCAAGTGTTCTGCTTGCTGCCAGCTGGACCCTTTCTCTTTTTCTTTCTTCCACGGACTTCGGTGAATTCGGTTTCAGCTGAGGGGGAGGTCGAGCTTCGCTGCCGTTTGCTGTTGGTGCCTGCTTTGCTGTTGCTCTTAGCGCAGTCAGCCAGTAGGGCCATTGCTCTGTCTTCGTCACTAGCAGGATCAGAGTGGGCCAGAGACGTGGTGGGGTCAGGCTGCGGTGGGGAGGGGGTGGGGGTTCCTCCATCTGACTCCTCAGCCCAGCTGCTGTCGGGGGACAGAGCTAGAGTGAAGTCCGGCTCACCTTCAGTGCGTCCCACTGAGGCAGATTCGGGTTCCCTGGATGCATCCCTTTCGGCATCCGATCCTCCTGTAGCAGATGAGTCCGAGTACGGTTTGTCTGACCCCACGCCACTGGCACTGGCAAGCTGGCGGTTGGCTGTCGTAGCCGAGGGAGGCTGCTGATCCAATGAGCTTGGATTTCCCGCCTCTCGTCCTGCTACTCTTTCTGCATCCGACCCTCCTACAGCAGATGAGTCCTGTTTGTCTGACCCCACGCCACTGGCCAGTTGGCGGTTGGCTGGTGGACCCCGACCCCATGGATTTGTCGTACTCCGTGTGTGGGTGAGGTGATTTGGACAGGCCTTTGCCTCATGTCCGCCTTGCTGACATCGAAAACATGTTTGCATTTGACCTGGGTACCAAACCCGTACCGTAGTACTACCGGAACCTATACGCACAGTAGACGGCATGCTCTTCTTCAAACTCATCCTTGCATGGCGGGTTCCCGTTTCGATTGAAAAATCACCATGCTCCACGATCTTTCTTGTTATTGGGCCATGAATATCTCCAAATGCCCCCAAAGAACTTGCAACTGCTCCATCATGTAAATGCAATGGGCATCCAAATACCGATACTGTGATTACTTCACTGCCGCCCACAGTAACAGGTACAGCCTTACCGCTTATTGACAAGCCAGAGGATACAAGCCGGTCGCGTGCGGCTCCACAGGACAGTGCTACGAGGCACCA